AAGATGAGGATGGTCAATTTGATTTGTTTGAGTCGAGCTCCGCGCCGTGAAAGAACATTTCCAAGAATACGCCTCAAACCCTAACACAAGTTGACCTCGTCTTGTTTTTTTTCTTCATTCTTTTTCAACAAGCCAGTCTGATGCTTCCATCGTCTGCCGCGGGTCACAAGCCAGTCTGACAACTCGCACAAGCCAGTCTGATGCTCACAAGCCAGTCCGATGCTTTTCACAAGCCAGTCCGAGAACCCTCGCGATGCAGTTTGAGACCCACAAGTCTTTCTGACACTTCACAAGTCAGTTTGAGCCTTTCGATTCTCACAATGCAGTCTGAGTACCCCCGCAATGCAAACTGAGTAGCAGACCCCAGCTTTGACGCCAGGTCTGCAGTGCCCCCGCCCCTGTCATCCAATGACTGGATGGCGGCAGCGTTGTTGCCCGACGCTGCTGTGACTCCTAACAAAACATGTTCGAAGGACCTGTCACCGGAAACACCAGAGGTCCTGGACAACGGAGAGGTAACGGACGGCGCGTCCAGTCGTGGGGTGTTACCGATTCGTACCAACCCCTTGTGGGGTGTGTCCGTTTCGATGCACCCCCCCCCTTGAGGTGTTGCACCCGCCTTGAGCCGTTGTAACTTCACAACAACCCCCTGGGCCCGGCGATGGCCCGGTGAACTCCGGTGGCAGTTGATTGCGCACCTGGAAGAGGCGACTGGAAAACGTGCGGTTATTACAAAGTGAGGCGTCGGAGGACTCCGTACTCCGGCAGCAAGGCTCCATTGTCTATCGGGTAGCGATGCTTCTCTCAGGTGCCGGGCTTGATTCCAGGCTCTGGTGACGCAGAAACGATGACATATGTCACAGAAACGATGACATGTCTTCCTTGTCACCCGTAGCGCAAGGGATAGCTAGGCTTCTTTGCGCAGCGCCCTGGACCGGGCTCGATTCCAGGCTGTGTCACAGAAACGATGACACGTGCCGTGACAGAAACGATGAATCGATGACGCGTGCCGCAGAAACGAAGACATCAGCCACAGAAACGATGTCGCAGAAACAAGGGACATGACATGTCACAGTGTCACAACAACGATGACATGTCACAGAAACACTGACATGCTCGGCTGGCTGCCTTGTCAGCCCAAAGGGCCCGTAGCGCAAAGGATAGCTAGGCTTCTCTTAGCTGAGCCCTGGACCGGGCTAAGGCTGAGAGGAGCCCTTGGCCGAGGAGGACAGGCTGAGAGGAACCCTGGCTGCGAGGACCTCAGTCGAGGAACCCTGGCTGCGAGGACCTCAGTCGAGGAACCCTGGCTTGCGAGGATGGTTGTCCGAAACGACGAGGTTTTCAGAAGTTGTAGAAAAGGGGACATTTTGTGCCTTTTTGCAGCCCGCGGAACCGCATGACATCCAATGACATCCGCATGACATCCTGTGACATTGGCCGAAAAAGTGCCGATTATGCGTCCTTTTCGGGCCAAAACCGCATTTTTTCAGGATACTACAGGCCTATGATCCTTACTACTGCAAGCTAGGTGCGTCCCGTTGCGCGCGCCGATCGGAGTGTATTTGGCGTGAGCAGGCAGGCCTTTCTGGGCAACACGCTTGGGGTCCGGTGTTCCAGTCTCCAGCGGACACCTTCCTCTGCCAGCTGTATCATGACTTGTTACAAAGGAACGTTGCGCGTTTTGGACTCCTTACCTACAATGACGCCGCATACTGTTGTGTTGGAATCCTTCGGCTGCCCATTGTCGGGATCCTGACCGGATGGTGGCCTTGTTGCAGAGCCCGATTAAAGACTTGCAGCAGTCAGGCCTTGGGGGGTGTTGCGGTGGCGACAAGTGTGCCAGACGGCGGTTTGGGCAGAAGCCTTGCTGGCGCATGTACAGGGTGTTAATTGCCCCCCCGATATGCTTGGACTCGTTGGCGTGGGGCAAGTCTTGACCTTGAAGCAAGAGACGCCACACCTACGCTCCGGATTCCTTCCCAGGCATCCCGGACATGCGGTTCAAGGACATTGGATTCTGTTTGTGGCTGCAGCATTTCACATGAGGGGGCAATGGCCCGCGCAGGATTGCATCCTGTGGCCCGCAAAGTTGGCCCGTCCGACGCCGTGGTCAGTCTGTGTCCGACCTCCCATCGGCATTCTTTGGGTTTTGTCGATCTTAGGGTTTGGGATGTAACGCAAAGGGCGGGAAAGCTCTTCCCCGCAAGGGTGCCAAATGAGTTCTTTCAAAGTTCTCATGCCAGATGTGCCAGCTGTTGCGAACCGAGGCCAAAACCGCGAAATGTGCTAAATGAAACTCGGACGGACATGGCCATTCCTCTTGTATCCAGTGAGTCTTGCTTGAAGTCATAGGTCCAATCGGCCGGGTCGACAGCAAGGGCAACACTTCTGTCCGAAGGGATGTCAAAGACGGAGTTCAAAGCATACTTGCCAGCTTGTTTCGCAAAAAAATCCCGCATGCGCATCTCAACCTTTGAGGCATTTGGCAAAAGTGGACGGTTCTTAAGACCTGCCGCTTTGAAACAAAATCCGAAGATTTTCTTGGTGTTGATGTCGGCCGTGGAAGTCTTCCAAGGTACCAGCAGTTGGCCTGTGGTTGTGCGCAAAGATTGCAATGTTTTTCTTAAAGGGTTTTTAGCCGGGCCGGGTTTCCAACTGACAAAATAAAATCAATGTAATCACTGTGGCGGTTTTACTATTGATATGAAACATGGCAATATCAGAACTGGTATGACACGTGGGAATATCCTGACAAACTTAACAGCGCAAAGGAAGGACAGCAAGCAACCGCGCGAACTGATTAATATAATTCTTTATTTTGCCGTTGCAATTGCAGTTGTAAATGATATTTTAAAAGTATTTCTTGTAAAAAATGTGTTTGAAGAAGTATTATTATAAGATTTGAGTGGGCTAAATGATGGAGGCTGAATTACATAATTATATCAATAAACAATGCTACGAATATTGCCGTTTCAAAAAAGAAAATATGGGTGTATGTGAATTGAGATTACCTAACGGAGTAGTAAATAAGATTATTGATTATGCTTTAGGAAAAGAAGCTGAATGTGAAGATTGTCAGGAATGGAGAGCTAATCAAGAACTAATCAAGTGTCATTTGAATATTGCAGGATTTTGTGAAAGACATGTTGAAGACGATGTTGTATTTTTTCTGATTGTTTGTGAAAGACAGTTTCTAAGGATTAGTAAGAGGAAAAATGAAATTACGTTAAGTTAACGGGCAGTACTGTAAAAGGACATATCACATTATTTATTGAAAGTAAAAAGGTTTAATATCAAAATCAGTGCGGGATATTAATATTATTTTCAACAAGATGTTTGAAAGAAGCAAGGGATATGTGGGTGGGTGTGGGTGGGTGTGGGTGGGTGTGGGTGGGTGTGGGTGGGTGTGGGTGGGTGTGGGTGTGGGTGTGTGTGTGTGTGTGTGGGTGTGTGTGTGTGGGTGTCTGTGGGTGTGTGTGTGGGTGTGTGTGTGTGTGTTGTGTGAAAAACTATACAATCATCAGTTAATTTTTCTATCCTGAACTTAAATTATAAAATTCTATCTGCATAGCCTTGCCCGTTTTTCCGCCACCAATACTTGTTTCATGAATTAGTAACCATTTTGTAAACAAGTGCGTAAACCTAACCTTGCTCGTATATTTTCTACAAAACATGCTAAAAGTCCTAAAAATGTTGTTGCATAACTTGTTGAATCATAATTCCTGAAAAAAATGTCAAGTGCAATATCTGAGAAATTTGGGAGTATGGGCCATGAGAGATCCCATAAGACATGAGTGGCTCCTGTTAACTTATGTTCGCGTCCGAAGGGCATGGGGCTCGAGGCCGAACCATGGGCTGCCTGTTGGCCATCTTCAGCTTAGGAGAGCCAGTTTCAAGCGGGGTCCCCGAAATGCTGCACTTGTGCTTCGGCGCCGACCACGAGTGATTTCACATCAAACAAACAACAATGGATAACGACAGCCCCTTGCAGCTCCTGTTGCGGCACACGCAGCCTGCCCTTATTGTTGGCGTGCCCAGCAAGCAAGGTCAGGGCAAATCTCAAAGCTCGCAGCATAGCCTTGCCGTCTGCTCGGAGAGCGGGCGACACGTGCGGAGCCGGCATCTGAATGGGAGACAGGAAGACAAGTGGAAAGCACGACCCCGGAGCCAGCGTCACAAGTTAGGACCCCACGCGCTATCTTTCGGAACGATTTTTTTCCCACTACTTCTTTCTGTCTGGGAGAAGGTGTATGTGGCCAGCGCCGAAAAACCGCAAACATAATATCGCAAAAGATGGGCACGCAGATCGCGTTGCGTGCAAAACTGACGACTAACTACACACCGCGCGCCTGGCACGCCAGGCTAGAGGCCAAACTGCACGCACTTGCACGTGCAAGTATTCCCGAACGCGCAAGCCGCTGGAAAACGCAGGCCCGGGATTGTGAAACAGACACCTGGCCAGCATGGGACGCAACGCAGGAAACGCAACTAGCAGCAAACCTGCACACGCCTACCCTTGCGCGCCCAGCCGACAAGCCTTTCCCCCGGCACGCTGCAGGGTGTGACGCGCATGCGCGCAGGCGCCGGGGTGTGTCTCCCGTTGGTCTCCCTGTGTCTTCCGCGGCACAAAGGAACAAACTTTGTTCCTGTGCTCACAAAATGAAACACGGCTTCTGAGGCAGCGGGGGCAAAGAGAATGGAGCACGCAAACCGCGTGCATGTGCCAGGGCACGCTGCGAAACTCATGTGCGGCAATTTGCATCAAGAAACTGGGTGTCAGTGTACCACTTCAAGGCCAGATCGACCCGTCAGTGCCCCAGCCCCCTCCTAACCATCATCCCACCCTAAACCCACCCAAACTAACCCAAAGCCAACCAACCCATCCTCAGTCCACCCTACACCACCCCAGATGTTTTTTCATGATTGTGTTGAGCATGCACATGCACGGCACTCTTCATCGAACATGTTCAAATCCAAGGAATCTTGATGCGTGTCGCTGGATTTTGGGTTCAAGACTCGAATTCACTTTAGGTGCCTGCAAAGGCCCAGTTCGGCGCCGCCGAGTCAGAGAGAGAGAGGCGGGGCTTGCGGCGTGCGGCGCAAAAGGCCAGATGAGTTTTGCCCTGCCAGGCCGATTCTCTTTTGCAGGCGAACACCGCCATGGCGCCTTGGTCGTTGCTTTGCATTGTTGCATAGCGCCATTTGCACCAGAAGATGCGACTAGCGTAAAGTCGTGGAAGCCGGTGCTGCTCCGTGTCAGGACCGGAGCGTGTTGGCAACACGACTTCACAGAAGAGGATTCCAGGTGCGGTGTGCCGATTCCGCCCTCTGACGCTGCTTGCTAAGAAGATTACAGCAGGGCTACCACCAGCATCCAAAGGAACAAAAACAGACGACACTGATGCAGGTGTCTTCTGGACGAAAGCATCGATGACTCAAACACAAAGAAAAAACAATCAGTTGGAGTACTTCGGAGCCAACTGTCTGAAACCCAGACATTTTGCCTACGATGTGTTTGACAACTATGGAAACAAGGACACGTTCCAATCCAAGAGCACACTTATCGTAGCAAAACTGCCAATCCCCTCAATTGGCACATCAACAACCTTGTGTAGGGGATGCAACACCCCTGAGGCAGCTCCATCGATACACCCCCAGATTTGGAGTCCATAGTCTAGGCTCTTCCGGAGGTCATGCTTAAGATGGTCTCTGCCATTTTCACGCTCGACCAGCTACAGATTTGGTTTGTAAGACGAAGCGGTTTATTGTTGATGCATTGCTTGAGCGCAGGCGGTGGAGCCATTGAAATGTGCTGGCCATGCATCCATCTTCCGCGTGCGCCCAAAACTTAGTTGCAGTCAACTGAGTTTCAGTTGGTATTGGGATCCGAGACGCGCGCTTGCTCAGGTGAAAGAGAAGACGAAGAGAGCGAAGCATACGTGTCCAAGGCACTGGAAGTCCTCAGGTAGCACATCCAAAGCAAACTGGCTGCAGCGCTTTGATACCCCAAGTTTGATCCCGAGCAGGTGGTATGCCTCAGTGGCTTGGATGCCCAAGGTCAAGCAGGAGCACAACAAGAGGCATGTGGCATGCCTTAAGACCCCCATGGTTGCATTGCAGCACGTCTCCGTACCGCAATCTGCCAAACGCCCATAAGTTCGAGACATGGCCATGTCAAAGCGTGCATCAACTTCACGTTGTTGCAGGTCAGCCTGCTGAAAGGCCTTTCCGTGGGTCCCTCAAACTCAGCGGATGCGAGTGCACATCTTCATTTTTGTTTCAATGAGGCTCATCCGAACCTCATTGCGTACAAGCAAAGCTTTCTGGAAGATGGTGGCCTTCTGTTCATCATCATGACCTTGGCAGAGGAGAAGCCTGACGCAGCGATCGGAAGTTGGAGCCGAAGGTTCTGACCCAAAATGGACCCAGACAGGCTGACCCTTTCCAGATGTGATGTCGTGACATGGAGATGCAAGCCTGCCCCTTATCAACATCTGAAAGCAACTGTTGATCACCTTTGGACACATGCAGGAAAGCTGCGGACACAAGCAGTGGAGGAAGGAAACAAGGCAGTTAGACAGAAGGAAAGCTGATCGCGCGCATAAATTTAAGACGACAGAGTCTAGCCGCTGCATAAAAGCAGAAAAGAACGTACAAAGAACTGAAAGGTCCTCTCCTCTGTGATGCATCGGCAATGGAGGCACATGGCGAAGCAACGTGCAACCAAGCGATGCAGCAACGTAAACTGACAGAAGCGGTGAAGCACTGAAGGCAATGCGTGCAGACGGTATGAAGAAAGGACAGAAACGGACGGCGTGGAACGAGGCAGGAGGCACAGAAGAACGAGGGGGCAGCAATGAAACACCAGCGGCAGTGAAGAAAGCAGCCAAAAGCAAAGGGGCTAAAACACAATGCTGAGCAACAAGAACAGGCAAGCCAGAACTAGGCGCAGTGCATCTATTGTCTTTCGGTGACGAATCAGCAAAGCAACTTGGTGAGAAGTGCAGGTCAGTGCAGCAAGGAAACCACGCAATGAGATGTAAGAAGACAACAGGCGTGATAAGGGACAGGGCGATCAGTGTGAGGATGGCGACCTTTGTCGAGTTGTGGGTGAAGCCCAAGTGACGCGCCGCGTTCTGCCAGAAGCTGCGGTGCGCCTTGCTGTTTGGCTCTTGCATGGAGCAAGTCTTATTTATGCCGTGTTCAGGTACTCACATGGCTTCGCCAAACTCTTCTAGGCCGGGCTGAAGAATTTATGGCCGTGCATCTTGCGCGCTTGGATATCTAATTCGCCCAGGTCTTGAGCATTTGCACAAACAGGGAGTGGCCTGAACCTTATCAGTGCAACCTTCCGATCCAATGTTGCGGCTTTGCAGGTGCATCGAGACTTGAAAAGCCCTGGCCTTGTCAACTGAGAGCTTTCTGTGGGAGCGACATGCAAAGCCGAGGTTCCAACATTTTCCTCTGCGAGGGTCGACGGCGGATCCGCATTGGTGATTTCGGTGCCCCTATGGAGTGGGTGACCAGGCAATTTTTTCAGCTCGGATGGATAGGTATTTCCACAGTTCTCCAGAGCACGGCGTTCGCCTCCTCGTGTGTGCGCGTCTTACACGCGAGAGATCTCATGAAGCCAAGCTGGAAGTGAAGCCTGTGAGCCTGTGAGCCTGTTTTGGCTGACTGGAGAGGCCTCGAACTGCATTGATATCATGGGAAAGGAGGGCGCAGACTGAGTTGCAATGTTTTGCGGAGAACACGAGGTGGGAACCCCCGCCTACATGTCACCGGAGCTCATGAGGCTTGCTTTCTGCTGCGCCGAGTTCGATTTCCGTGGAATTTGTCCGATGGCAGGAATGAGCGATACGACTTTCACGTGGACATGTGGGCCTTGGGGTGCATTTGCTTCGAGCCTTTGCCTCAATTGACTCAGGCGCCGGTCGAAAGCCGCATAGCCCCTCGCATTGGCTTCGTGAGGCTGTGCAGCCTAGACCTGCCTTTTGCCGCAGCATCGCTGCTGCAACTGGCCGGGGATCCTGGGCGTCAGGAGTCCAAAAAGCGATGGGGAGATGTTGGGGTGATCAGATGTCGCATGTGTCGCATGCGGTTTCTGTTTTGAGGCAATGCAGGTCATGGATGCTGAACCTGCGCGGAGCTCAGTTTGTGGCGGTGCCCGCAGACAGCCGCCACTTGCAGCTCAGGCCTGGCACAAGGTGGAGGGACGCAGTGAAGATCTTATAACTGCCAGCAGCCCAAGGCCTCATAATGCCAGCCTTGCCAGCCTTGCCAGCCATGGGCACAGAGGTCAACCGATGGCTCCTTCAAAAGGACGTCACAAACCGGCCCCATCCTGAGCTGGCAATGCGTTGTGATGAGTGTCTGTTCCATTGGGCTTTCCAAAATGGGTTGCCACCCAGAATGCAAGTAGAACCCGTCCCATTGTTAGGGGGGTGTTCCCTCCAAAAGTGATGAATCCACACACTAAAAGGGGACACCCCCCTATTAATCAACCAGGGGTTTATTAGTCCGGGTTGAACATTAAGTGGAAACATGACCCACCTGCGGTTTCCCCTCCGTTCGATTCATTTTGAGCACCCATTTGCTTGAAGACCGAGTAATGCAGAGTGACTCAGGCCCACGGCTAGCCGTGTGCTGCAAGAGCCTCTTTTTTCGGAGGGCGGCCGTGCGAGCATTGGCCCCACGGAGGAGGACAGGGGACCGAGGGGACCGAGGGGACCGAGGGGACCGGCCCCTCAACCCCTACACGATGTCCACCATGGCCCAGGTAAAATTCGCAGCCATGTGGGTGGAAACGTGCGGCTCGGAAAGGATCTCTCTCGTTTGTGTAGGAGTGGCTCAGCCTGGCTGCGCCAGACACAGACACTAGCTGGACCTCAGAGAGTTTATGAGCAGCGCCCAAAACCCTCATTGGCCACTTGAGTCGAGGGTTCCAGTTCCTGGTTTATTGGGGATTATGATGAGGCCAATGTGAAGATTTATACATGTATGCTGACCACATTAGTGGAACCAAACCTCGATTGGTTTTGGGCGCTGCTCTCGAAAGCCAAGTGCAAATGCAGTTTACCTGATTGATTCTGGATTTTGCAGGTTTTTGTTGCATTGTGCACTTTGCTTGGATTTGTGACTGAGGTTGTGACAGACGAAGAGCGCAGACAACTGTCAGCGCTGAGCTCAGGAAAATCGATGAAGCTGTTATACTGTGGGGTTGCAACTGTACCAGAAAGAGATGGCCAGCTCTTTCATGTTGGCTGTTAGGCAGTGAACACACCATCAGTCATTTCTGTCCACTTCAAGCAATACTTCGGAGATCTTTGGAACGTTTCCGCAATAGACGTGGCGGCAGAACGCATTTGGGTTTGTGTTTCTTTTTGAGGGTAGCCTTTTCAGACCCAACTGGGGTGTCAAAATCCACTCCAAGCTCAGGCACTGCCGCTCTGTCCGGCTCCGACACCTTCAGCTCCAAAGGACCGGCTCGGGCGAGCCGGTCCGGTGTCTGTTTCTTTTGGCCGAAGGACTAGGAATGTTTTGTCTTCTTTTTTGAGGGAGAGCGCCTTGACCTCTCAGCGAAGTCTACCTTTGGTCGGATTTCTGTTCCGGCATCGCTTCCAACTGGCCGTTCCCTGCGCCCGGCCCAGGCTGGCCAACCATGCCGGATTCCACGGGGGAGATCACAGCAGGCCATTGGCGCTCGCTGCGTGAGGCTGGTGCCCACTTGATGCGTCGTGACTCAGGTTTGGAAGCCCCGGCCATCGCAAGCTTTGATCGCTTGGTGCCACTTGGCGACCGGAAACGGGGGGGGGGGAGGGGAGGGGAGACGTGGATGGAAGATGCCGCTTTAAGGCAGCAAGCGCGGGAGGCCTGGGCTCTTGGGCTTGGGAGTGGTCCATGCTGTTCTTCTTTTTTCAGGCCAGGCACGAGTTTTCCAAGGACGAGTTTGCGGAAATTCTTACGACGCCCCGGCCTCGGCATCTGGGTCTGTCTTAACATTGGGGGAATCTCAAAAAGGATGGTTTCCCTCTTGGTTTCCCTTAACATCGCCACAAACAGGTACCAGACCCCCCCACCAACACACACACACACACATTTTCTGGTCAAACGGAAGCGAGGCACCAGCAGTCGCTGTTGGAGCAGCTCAAAGCAGGCGGAAGCTGCGGATGCGACACGAAGCTGCGACAGAACGATTTCCTTTGGCCTCCCTCACCTCAAAGCGGGAGACGTCTCGGGGGATTTGATGTTTGGATCATGGACTGCAGAGAGCTCCGCTCAGTCCGCAGTGGTGGTCTGCATGGCTTTGGCCGGCGCCCAAGCGCGAGCGTTTTCAGAAAAAGGCCATGTAGTTTGAGTCTAGTTTGGCCACGTGGGCATGAGGCGAAGACAATAGTTGCACTCAGTCAACGCACTCATACTGTCCGGCACCAAGTAAGACGCATGTGCTGTGGAACCTTTGTCAGCCCAACTTGAGGCATGTCATGTTGGATGACTCACCCGCATAGAGTATTCAGCGTTGCAACACGCGCACATGCACACAGCACAGACACACACACACACATACACACTCACACACGCAAACACACCCACAAACACACACACACACACACACACACACACACACACACACACACACACACACACACACACACACACACACACACACACACACACACACACACACACACACACACACACACACACACACACACATTCACACACACATTCACACACACATTCACACACACATTCACACACACATTCACACACACATTCACACACACATTCACACACACAGACACACACACAGACACACACACACGCACGCACGCACGCACGCACGCACGCACGCACGCACGCACGCACGCACGCACGCACGCACGCACACACGCACACCCACACTCACACACACACACACACACACACACACACACACACACGACACACACACACACACACACACGACACACACACACACACACACACGCACACGCACACGCACACCCACACACCCACACACACACACGACACACACACACACACACACGACACACACACACACACACACACACACACCACCACACACACACACACACACACACACACACACACACACACACACACACACACACACACACACACACACACACACACACACACACACACACACACACACACACACACACACACACACACACACACACACACACACACACACACACAC